GTATAGCTGATGTCTTTTCCAGCTGACTCTTTTTCGTCATACTGCAGTGACTGTTTTCAATACATATGTTGCAATTTCTACTTAGTGCGAAAAAGAATCAGTTGTAGTGGAGGTCGATGAGACTATTTTTACTGTTTTAAAAAGCTTAAGCCTCTATCCAGAGATATATCGAAGTACTTTAGTATAATACAGGGTCTCCGGTCATAAGTGTTAAATACAATTTTGCATGAAACTACATGGTAATGGTGACAGAATATCGCAAATTCGAGGTTCCCAACTTTAACAGTTAGAGAATGACAAATAAATAAATATAAAAAAATATTGTAGTTGTTATGAAAAAGGTTATATTACTCTGCTAAAATGAACTTACTGTAAATTTTCAATGTAATTTGCAGAATCCTCAAAATTTTTTAAATATATATAAAGCACATAATCGTTGGGGTACGGAAACATATTCTATTTAAATTTCTTCGTTAAACAAATAATTTTTATATTGACGAAAATGTAAATAACATTCAGAGCTTTATTTCTAGGTTGCCGAGTTCCGGCGAGGTTATCAAATATTACTAAAAACTTCCTTATTTAAAGGGCTTTACAATGGTGTATAATAGTTTGAAATACCATTTTTATTATTATTTTTATGTCTAAGTATATATAAAGTAAATAAACAATAAAAAACTAAACTCTTATATAAAAAAATAGTAGTATTAAATAAAAAGACTAATAGATTATACGTTATTATATAAAAAGACTAATCTAGACAATATTTAGCCAAGATGCGGTGATTCTTTTAGCCCTTGTGCATAATTTGTTTTTTGTCTATCAGATACTCTTTGTTACATTGAAACTATAAGTGTTTTATACCATTGTTTGATCATAAAATTGTGCGTATTTTAGTTGTCAATTGAAGTTCCTAATGTTAGTTTTAAAACAAAATATGTCAACAAAGTCAGAAAATGTGTTTTTTCTACAATTCTTTCCAATTCGTCGAGACTCCTGATACTGCAGAATATGGTAAGTTAATGATATTTACTAATTATATATTCCTTGATTTGTTCTGAATAAAATATTGGATAACATGATGATGTTGTTTAATGGATAACTACGTTTAACCTTTCCAATAGGCTATATAAACTACGTATTAGAATTCTGGCAAGGGACATCCTTTCCTTGTTAAAGGCAATTATTTATTCAACAACGCTTCTTTATTGATGTATTCCTAAGGATAATCACCGTCTAGCTATTTACCTGTTACACATTCAAAGTTCTGAAATAACATTTACAATTCCTCCCAACGACCGCTTAACAGAAGTTATAATAGGACAATTAAAGAGTGAGTCTAAGTGACTTTTAGGTGCTAGAAAATCGAGAACGTTTTAATACATCTATAAACATTCTTAATTTGCATTAAATGTATTAATAATTAATTGACTTTTCTCTTATTTTAGGAAAAATGGGGAGACCGATCAAACGTTGCTCTCGATACGAGATTGCAACTAAGTAAAAATCGTTTTTTACTAAAATAAAAAGTAGGGCCTACACATAATTTATCATATGGTACACCTCATGACGTCATCCGTCCTACATCACACATAAAGCCACACATCATATGTTATCCATCGTAAGCCACACATCATGACTACGTTCATCCCTACGTCACACTGCATGGCGTAATTCATCCCTACGTCACACTGCATGACGTAATTCATCCCTACGTCACACTGCATGACGTAATTCATCCCTACGTCACACTGCATGACGTAATTCATCCCTACATCACACTGCATGACGTAATTCATCCCTACGTCACACTTCATGACGTAACTCATCCCTACGTCACACTTCATGACGTAATTCATCCCTACGTCACACTGCATGACGTAATTCATCCCTACGTCACACTTCATGACGTAACTCATCCCTCGTCACACTTCATGACGTAATTCATCCCTACGTCACACTGCATGACGTAATTCATCCCTACGTCACACTGCATGACGTAATTCATCCCTACATCACACTGCATGACGTAATTCATCCCTACGTCACACTTCATGACGTAACTCATCCCTACGTCACACTTCATGACGTAATTCATCCCTAAGTCACACTGCATGACGTAATTCATCCCTACGTCACACTTCGTCATCAGTCTAACGTCACACATCACGATGTCATCAGTCTTACGTCAAAACTTATGACGACATCCGTTCTATGTTACATACAATGACGTCGTCTGCCCAACGTGATACATCGTCAGGTCATTCCCTGGGGAGCGAGCTGGTCTAGTGGTTACAGCGTAGGACTTCAATTCCAGATGACCCGAGTTCAAATCCCACCAAATCCCCAATGGATCTATGTGATAATGCCACAACCCCTAGGTTAAGCCTGAAATAATGTAGAAAACAATTCTGGGCTCGTGCCTAGCGTCCGGGAAAAAATGCGGGGGAAAATTAGCCCTACGTCATATGTGGTGATAACATTTTGCCTTGATTGTCATTGATGAATGAAAAAAGTCGACTTCGATTCAGAATTTGTCACGAAAACAAATAGTATTAAGGCTATACCGATTTGATTATGTCAGTCTCCATTTAGGCCTGATGATGATAACGGCGGGGGTCTGATTCTATCGCCATTGTATATGTATTTACTGTCTTTGAAATGTATATTACTTGAATAGTGTCAGAAGACTGTTAATTTTATAATATTTTATTGAATCTGTATGGTTGTATCAGGAAAAATATTATTTTGATAGTTTTCATACAAGCTGTATACGAACGGAGGAATAACTACTCATCCTGTGATACCTTATAAATATGTTAATATCATGCTTAACATGGTTTATATGTATTCACTAAAATAAGTCAGTTAAAGCAAAGAGGAATTCTCAACTATAAATGTTACCAACACCTACAAAGGTAAATTCATTCTACACGATATTTGTGTTATTTGAGTTTAAAATGATAAAAATACTCTTTTGGAGGTATATTATATATTACCGATATTACTATTATACTAATAGAGATAGGAACGCCACCTAGGTGCTTATTTTAACCAAAATATGAGTGAAGGATGAGTGTAGAATGAAATGAGACGTATAGGTTTGTTACCGACGATCAGCTGTTTTATTAAAAAGGATAATTTATTTAAAGCCCATAGATCAAGGACAACAGAGTCCAGAACAATCAAAAAGCTACTAACTTATCTCAGGATTGAGCCGGCAGATCACTTCAACCACTGCTATCCAGCTGATAAATTTCCAGTTAGAAGTACTGAGTATGTACCTTTTTGAGGTAGCAAATTTAATCTATATCGTCGTAAAGTGCCAGATCACTACTTTATTAAAGTTTTAATACACACTTTAACGGAGTTAAAAGTACGGAATACATTATAAACCCTGGCACATTTCAATGGTCCAAAGTTTGACTGTTAACTCCTTGGTAATAAAGCACAAGAGCCATAGTTTATGACATTACAGTATTGTGTAGTACTATATTGTCTAGCTTGCAGTCGTATCATATGGCTGTCCTCACGAATAATATCTTTGCAAAGTTCTATACAGCACTGATGTACTATTGTTCTTAAACAATTTATAGTACTTCATAATTAGGAATCATATATATCTTATGAGTAAATGTACAAAGTTTGAGATATTGTGATTTCACACCTAAATAAATGTAAGTAATATTTTACTTACTGTAATTTGTGGTTTGTGTCTTTTGAGTAATAATAGTAGACGAGACTCGTCAAATGTTATTTTAATACTTTTTGATCAATGTCGAATCTGAAATCTAATTTTCTGCAAATAAAAATTATACAATTAAAAAATTTCTGGTTTAGGAGGACCAAAAACCAGGACAAAAGACTTCCACCCAAAACTCAAACTCGAATTTTTACGAAAACCATACTTTCTCCATATACTAGGGGAAAAAGTAAAAATAGATTTTACCTACGACCGTTTTTTAAAGTAGCCATTTCAGTCCAGTTCTTAGAATTGAAAAGTTTCACTTTACAGCTGTTTACTTTCATATCCGCATAGTTTCATTTCATATCCGCATAGTTTTCTCATATCCACACAGGTAACGGACCAATGAGGTTCAAGTATTGAGAGAAAAGAATTAAAATTGTAATGCTTCGAACGTCAACTAATCAGCTGTTCAGCTGATCAGTTGACCAATTTAATTGTTGACCCGACTTGTTCATGTTGATACTCGCGTATTCTTAATTAAGTTGGTGGAAGTCCAAAAATAAATGAAATATTTGCCGAATTGTACCTGATACAATATTATTTATGGTAAGAATGCTGCTAGCAATGTAATATTTAACGAAGTTTAACAAACACGTAATTACAGGAAATCAGCTGATTATACAACAAGTCGTTGCATTACTTTCAGTGGCAATGACAATACACGAAAACATAACCTCTCTAAAAAGTTATCATTAGTGATTGTTAGTAATTAAATCCAGATTGATAGTAATTAAAAAACGGTCGTAGGTAAAGTAGTGTACGCAACTCGCGTTAATAGTCTTTACGACACTCGTAGAAGTTTTTAAGGCACTCGCCTTTAAAGACTCACTTAACGCAATCGTTGCGTAAACTACTATTTCCTACCGCCACAAAGAAACTATCACATTACCACACCTGTAAACAGTACGCAAAATAGCTCATTTACGCTCTAGAGCGGGAATACATCATTCCCGCTTGCTAGTTAGCTGATTTTACTGTTGGCGTTTCTACACCAACTACAGTCGTGGATCCGGTACGTAGTTAACAACTGGTAAGAAATAACATAACCTTTAAAAAAGCAAACATAACCTAAATGGCATTTTAGATACATCTAATAACCTAATCAGATAATCTACCTACAGATAATCTATCTGTGTGTTAATATAAGTTAACTATGGTGGTAAGGAAAAAACTTGTGTGTATTACGAGCACAAACAGTTATTGCGCTCTTAATACACAAATAACTATGCATAACATGTAATCGTAACGATACCTAGCAGGTAGTCGACGGACGCAACGCTTACTGCGTCCAACTGCTGTTTGTTCCAGACGTACTCTGCTCTCTGATTCTTCTTCTTTTTGTCCCTGAGCCAATCGTCTATCAGGTTTCTGCCGTCCAGACGCCGACCCTCTTCCAGTGTCTGCTCAGGGTCCCTAGCGACTTTGGGCAGCCAGTGTCTTCTGCCACCACCCAAAATCACCTGAACAAATAAAATCAACGCATTTTTAAATAAATATTTTTTTTCGACACATGTTTCCTGCATAGTGAATATAACCATGAATTTGGGCAGTTTTGATCTCGTTACGCCATAGTCTTTTAGCTTTTATTTTTATACTAAGATAATGCTAATAAGGACAACTTATATGTGTCTGTTCAGTGTTCATGTATGTATACATGGTTTTTTGCGTCAAGATGAAAAGTACCAAAAGTAATTTTCCGACACTTGCTCCAACTATTCCCGTCCTCCAAATTTCTCCTCGTACGTGATATTTGGAGTTCCTGTATTCGGCTTTGCCTCTTACATGAAACTTGAGCGTGCACAGGATGCGTGCACTTTCGATAAAAGTAATGAAATATACTACTGTATTCTTACCTCAATAATTACGTAATGATGAAGTGATAGATGTTTGTAAAATATTTTACGCCACACTACACTGTTATAACGAACTTTCCACGCAAGGATTTCGTCCGGAAGACAGCTGTTTGCCGCCAGCTTAATCAAATGGGGGTTCATTACGTACTACACTGTATTGTACCGTAATGAGCTTTTACCGGACACCAAACAGCTATATTTGGCAATGAGTGATTATAAACAAAAACATAACCTCTCTTAGAGGATATGAGTAGTGATTGTTAGTCATTGGGAATAATGATTTGTAGAGATTTTTTATTTTTAAGTGAGGTTCTTAAAGTAGTATGGCATAAAATATCGTTCGTCACTCGTCCAAAATGTGTGTACCGGACTCGTGTGGTAATCCCGTACTCGACTTCGTCTCGCACGGGAACGACCACACTCGTCCGGTAAACACTTATTTTCAGGACTAGTAACGTAATATATACTATTCCAGCAAAGCGTTCTCTAAAAGATTTACAAACTCTCTTGCCGATGCATGTTAAGTTTCGCCTTGATAATTTTCTTGCATCCTTTTACTTCATACAACGTGATCAAAATAATGCCTGTAAATGTTGCTATACTACACTGCTTACAGGGTTATTGGGGTCTTCTAACGATGCATTGCACTTAGAGCATGTTAAATAAAAAGCATAAAATAAATTATAAAATGTTAAGATCATTTTCGGCATGCTTATCTCACAGAATAGATTAATACTAGTACCAACATTTTATAAGACCTTAGCTTTGTACCTGAAGGTTGTTTGGGAAGCTAATATACTGCACATGCCTCATTGTAGGAGGAAAGTACAGTACTGTAAAGTAGTAGTAGCCTAGTGCAGTAAAGTAGTAAATAGTACAGTAAAGGACAGAGCTTTTGTTGTAACTGCCTGCTGTCTTTGGAATAATACACACAAATATTCGATCGTCACCTCAGAGCTCAATTGTTTGTGGTAGTACTCAAAAAGATATGCTTAGAGCACATGGTTTCATGAGGAGCTCTCTAAGATTATTTTTGAGCTAGTTTTGTTGCTGAGTGTGCGAGTCAGTCTGTTGTCAAGTTTTTCCTAGAAGTGTAGATACTGTATTTATGACATATCTGTCCAGGTAACTTTGCCTGTTTGAAATTAAATATTGTAATTTATTCAATCATGGTTCAGTCGGATCACTCTAATTCAAACTAGAACGATCTTAAACAATGTACAGTACCTAAAGTGAATGTTACAATAAAGTAATATAGCGATACGTATAGACCAAAATCTTCAAGAGCAAATAGCTCTGTACGATCATATTCAAGAACTCGTCAACGTCAATGTTTACGTTATGGGAACTCTCTAAGTTCATAGTGTTTTGTTTTAAAATAGTTCAATGTTTTCCATGAAACCAATTATAATGTGAGACTTTCCATGAACTCCGTGGAAACCTTTGATAACACGTTAAACATAAAGTAAATAGGAAATTATGCACTTTACGAAATAAATAATTGTATTGTTTGGAGATATTAACACGTATTTGTCATGTACTTATCGGGCAAACTAAAAGTTTTATGTAAACGCTAATATTATGTGCATAGTTATATTGCCAAATGTATGTACTATTTCTAAAGACTGATTGCTATATAGCCTAGTTCAGCTACACAGTTCAGTTTTAAGTGGGATTGTAATGTTGCCTTTTATCCATGTAGATTTTACTATTGCGAAAATGAAGGATTGGAATTAATTTTAAATTTCCTGATCACAATTACTGTTTAGTTTGAAATCCCATTTAGTATCAAAATACCATTTTAAATACAAAGCTAGTTGATTACTTGAGCGTGCTTTTGAATAAATGGTAACCTTTGACGATAACACCACGATGAGCTTCTAAATTAATTGATTGAAAAGTTAAACTAAATGAACGAGCCTTTATGTTTTATTTAACATTTTAATACATTTCATCAGGATGAAATTACTTACAACTCAACATTTCATTTTAATTTATTGGTTTGTGTGAACGATTATCGTAGGTAAACATTAATGTAAAATAAATATTTTTTTGCAATTTCCATCATTAACATGTAGTAGTTATGTTATATTAAATATATAAATATTCAACGGAAAGATTTAGAATTGTTTATACTTTGTATGAATTACTGTGTGGATAGACTAAAGGCGAAAGTGTTTCATTTTGAGACAAAATGCTGTTCCAATGGAGTGAACAGCCACATTAATTACGAGTCAAAAATGACAGCTGTTCATAGATTCATTGAATTTGCTATGCTATTATAGGTGACCTCTTAAGGGGGGCAAGCGGCTAGGAATCGGAAGAAAATTGTGAACATAAATATAGGTCTATGTGCACATCAAATTAAACTTTATTTGTAGACTACAATGCCACGAATGAGAGCTTAAAAGAACAACTGAGTAAAAAATGGCAGCCGTTCAAAAATTCAAAATGACAGATTCAAAAATATTTGAATGGCTGTCATTTTTGACTCAGTTGTCCGTTTCAGTTCAAACTCGCGGCATTGAATTATGCTAGTAAAAGTCCTTAATTCGATGTACATATCAACCTATGCTACTATTTAAGATTTCCTTCTGACTCTTGGCGGGACGTCCCCATGATATTACAGAAAACTGATAGTTGATTCAAAAAGTAGCTTTTTAGCTGTCATGTTGATGTACCAAATCTTATTGATTTGTCTGTTATCATTCGGCACATATTAAACCCGTGCGGGACTTTATTTACACCCTGTATAAACTTACACATCTTATCGAACCCAAATGACTAAAAAATCTTCTGGATAAGAAGGTATATATCATGTGATTTATACTTTCGGACGCAAGCAAAATGCCTACAAAAATTGATATCTAAGTTTAAAAGGCACGTTTAGATAAATAATAATCTATGTTTAATCTTTTAACCCAAAATGTTATAGGTGAAAAGGTGACCTAATTTGTGACTTGATGAAAACCATTATTATAATTTTTGTGACGTATAAAACTGACTCAACATTAAATATTTAACAGATAATATTGAGTTACTAATTAAAATGGTTTTATCTATTTACTCAAACAGATTCGTAAATGCCTTAAAAATAAAACTTCCATTAATATCTTAAACTAAATCCTTCCCTAGCTTGACAACTGAAAATATCTCTAATTTGGTCGACAAGGAAAACACAACAATATCGTCAAGGACAAAATCCTTTGTTGTTTTCGAATTTAATTGGAATAGCAACCAAGGAGCGTTTCTCAACTCGGTGTCTAATTACTCGGGTCCAAAATCAAAACTCAATAAAAACTCGGAATGGTTAAGATTGAGAACTGCTGTACAAATCGGAGCAGTGTTTCTGCATGCAAGACCAGAAATCAAATATCAATTTGATGGCTGGCGAACCGTAATGGAGCACTTATAGAGATTTATTTCGTCTTGTAAAACAACTTCCCTTTTGCCTTATCATTATGGAAAATTTCCTCAATTACGTTGACTGTTTGATCACATGGAACCATTTATAAATTGGAATGAGCAAATTAGTGGTATACACAAATAAATATTTCTCACGATAGTTTGAAATTGTATTCTTACTATCATTTGAATTATTGTGATCACAATATTATGATTATTTATTGCATTAAAGCTGTTAACCTGTGGTTACTATTTGATCACATAGCAAAGGGAGGAACAAATTTAAAGGTCGCGTATTAATTGCGACAAAGAGTTCCTTAATTGCGCCAAGCCCTCAAAGGGTCCCAAAAAATGCTCCTTAGTTGCGCCAAGACCAATGTAAGGTTGAGTTCCAGGTAGAAAGAATGTTTACCTGCCATACTAACCTATCGTAACCTAACCTAACCTTAGATAACTTAGTAAAAAATGGCTAACCTATCCAAACCAAACCAAACCTAACCTACTCAATTATACAGTCAAAGAGGGCTGCCACTTGATGCAGTTAATGAACGTATCGGGTGGCTCCCTGTAGTAGTTTGCGCAATTTAGGAATACCCGACTACCTGACTCAGGTCAGTTGGCGCAATTTTAATATCCGCCTAATTTAAACATGAAATTTCGTCCACGTTAACTCATTATAATTACTTTTGAAGTAATTAAAGAGTATGAATGAAATTGATTAGGGATTTAAAAACCTCCCTATTTGTCTGTTAAACTGCATGTAATGAATACTATAACTGTGAAATTGTAACAACCGTTTAAGATTTTTTTTAAACTTTATTCTCACTTTTAGTTGGGTACTATTGATACCAAAGTAGACATACAATTTCTATGTACCAACTGTAGCTTTTTTGCTCATCTCAGATCAAAATTGTTTATTGATACAATGAGGGAAATGTAGCATTAAATTGTTGTTTAGGAGTTTAGAATATATTACGAAAATTAAATTTTGATATCGGCAACAGGATAGGGCACCAAAAATAATAAGTTTGCGTGGTATGTAAGAAATAAAGAGAAAGTCATATCATAATTGCAAGTAACAGTGTGTGTTCTTAGCTGATAAGCGACTCAGTGTAAAAACTCACGGAGGACATATTTGAATTACCCTCTCGTAGAGTTTGCTACTCTTAAAAGTTTCATTTCTTCTTTCAGTTTTCCAAACTAGGACAGTTGATGAGGTCATAAAAGATGCAATAGCTAACAATAATTTGTTTTAAGCTGGTTTT